TTCAAGCACCAATCTGGTCATCTTGTCGTTGGATCGGCCGATGACTTTGGCGCTTTCGAAAGCGAAACTATGCTGCTCCCGCTCCATGTGGCCGTATACCAGTGACAGTCGACCCTCGCGATTGAGTGGAACTTGGTGTTCATGAAGTCGTCATGAAGGCGTTTACCCGTTTCACCAGCATACCTTGCACTGCAATTCTGGCATGGTACGCTGTAGACCACTGCTGATGGTTGCGTTGCCGGTAGCGGGTCCTTGGGTCTTATTATCTGCTATCGGATGGTCGAATCCGGTTTATGGGCCACCCCAATTCCGAAAGGGTTCAGGAGTCGAGCTGTCGCCTCCGAAACATTTCTCACGTAGGGTATCGCTAGCCAAAACTCCGGTTTTTCGTCGTTTGGTCGATCCTGGATGGGCTTTCGTCGGCACTCACGTATGAAGAACCGCGGATAACCATTATATATGAACGAGGAGTTGAAGTATTTCGCCTCCGCCTTTTTCCCGTCTTCATCGCTACAGTGCGTTTGAACGCGTTGGAATAGAGATCTAACACCACTTCATTTTCGACCAATTGGGTAATTCCTTTGGAATTGCAGGAATTGCAGGACCGCCTCGGCAATTAGTCCAGACAAGGGGGTGCCCATTGGTGTTCCCTTCTTTTTTTCATAAACCAGGTTGTTGAAGCTGAAGAAACACCTGAGGCACAATTCCAACAGCTCAGTGACCTGTTGTCGTTTAAGTTGCTGGTCCTCGTCGTCATATTTTTCGGCAAGTAGTTCATCAATAGTGCTTACGGCGAGGCCAGTTGGAATAGAGACGAATAAGGACACCACGTTAAACGATACCATTATCCCGTCTGAATCTATTTCTAGATGCCTTATGTTCCTCAAAAACTGTTCAGTCGACTTAACTGTAGATTCGGAATCCTCGGTGAGGAAACGGAACCGTCCAAACGTCGGAGTGCCACGCAAGGAAACGATGGGGCGAAGGGGCACTTCTGGCTTATGCACCTTTGGCAGATCGTAGAAACGCGCCATCGCGGCGTCTGTGGCTTTTGCGGTCAGTGCCTCCCTTATTTTTAGAGCCCCGGACTTCTTCAACTTTTCAATCGCCCTGTTGACGCTGCCCACGTGTTTCTTGAGCTCTCCAGGCGTTTTCGTCCCCCAACATACCTTGTAGCTTCTCCATGTACACAGTCTTATCCATGACTACCGTCGAGCGTCCCTTGTCGGCTGGCAGAGTGACAATATCTTTCATCTTTTGGATTCGCATAAGTTCTCGGCCTTGTGCCTCGGAGATCGTCGTCTGAGGTTTGTGCTGGAGGAAGAGAGTTGACACTTGCTGGCGCATGGCGTTCTTACTCTTTTCGTTTGCTTCACACTTCTGGAGCGCCGATTTGAAAGATGCGAAAAAGTCTGGAGCGAGCATCTTTCGTGTTGAACTTAGTGTCGTAGGACAATACTGCCAACTGTTGTTGAGTGAGAGGACGGGATGAGAGGTTATGGACCAGGGCATCATCGGTAGGGGACTGAATTGTTGGACATATTCTCGCAAACTTCTGAAGCAGTTGGCTGTCGCGTAGCCGTCGGTGACTGTGCGGTATTGAGTATTGTCGTTTCTAGAGTTTGTAGCTCGTAT